CCTTCAACTTTTGATCCTCCTGCCTCAGCCTCCTGAACTGCTGGGATTACAGGCATGTGCCACCTTGCCCAGCTAGATCATATGCTAATTCTGTTTTTAACTTTTTGAGGAACCCCCATACTATTTTCCACATTGGTGGTACTATATTATCTTCCCCCCAAACAGTGCACAAGGTGGTACCATATTATCTTCCCACCAAACAGTGCACAAGGGTTCCCATCTCTCCACCTGCCTGCCAACACTTGCTATTTTCTGTGGGGTTTATTTATAGTAAACATCCTAATGTATGTGATAATTTGACTTATGATTCATCATCTTGCAAAGATTCATTCTTTCCTAGATCTTGTCAATGCTTTACTTAGAGATAAAATGGAAATACTGACCAGCTACAAACATACACATCACATTCAGTTCTCCTAAAGAGCAGGTAAGGCAGCCCATCCATGTTTCTCAATGTGAGATTCATGTGCTATTTAGATTGGATTTATTTTTATTTTTTATTTTTATGTGGTACTGAGCATCAAATTGGTTTAATTGGTTTCTAGAACAATCCTCTTTGCCCCCTGGTATGGTTTGTATATGATTTGACTGTATCCATGCATTGGAAGCTTGGTTCTCATGCCATGGTGCTGAGAGGTGATGGGACCTTTAAGAGATGGGGCCTAAAGCAAAGTAATTAGGTCATTTGGGGAGCTTCCCTTGAAAGAGTGCTCTGGCTTCCTGTTTTGAGATCAGATGTTATCACTCACTCTCACGTGCATTCCCAACATAATAGACCTTCACCAGAGGCTGAACCAAAGGGGCCACTCAATCTTGGATTGTCCACCTCCAAAATTATAAGCTAAACCAAACTTTTTACTTTAGAAAGTAAACCTACCTCAGGTATTTTGTTACAGTAATGAAAAATACACCCCCAAAATTGTATCAGCAGAAAATGAGCTCCAAAAGCATCAGTTGCAGCTGTAAGGAACAGAGGACAGTAAGAAACCTCCCATAGGGCAAAAACAAATATAAAAAGAAAGTATAGCATCTTTATTCACTCTAACTTTAAAAAGTTTTCCCCTCAATCCTTGACCTCTGGATAGTGACAGAGGGAAAATTAAAGGGAAAACACTATTGAAAACATCTGTTTTCATTTGAGGAATGGGCTTTGGACTGCAAGTAAACACACACACACACACACATACACACATACAAATGATATGCACAACTGATTTTTTCCTATAATAAGAAACATCACTAAGGACACAGACTTTTTCTTCATCTTTCTACCATACTCTATATGTATCACAACATGGTTGCAGAAGCTCCAGGCATCACCATCTCACACAGACTCAACTAGATAAAAGAAAATAAAATGTATCATCTAACATTTTTAATGGTTTAAATGCAAGAAAACTATAGAATCACCTTCCACTGACATCCTTTCCATTCATATTGGTGAGAACTGAATCATGTGCCCACCCCCATATCACTCTCTAGCAAGAGAATAGAGTTACTATGATTGGCCAATAATAATAAAAATTCTCGGGCTGGGGTTGTGGCTCAGCAGCAGAGCACTTGCCTAGCACATGTGAGGCGATGGGTTTGATCCTCAGCACCACACAAAAATAAATAAATTAAATAAAGATATTGTGTCCAACTACAACTAAAAAATAAAATAAATGATAATAAAAATTCTCAACTGTGGAGCTAGGTAGGAACCTATTTTCCAAGATTTCCCTGAAAACCAAACTACAGCAGTGTGGGAAGCCATTCTCTCACGTGATTGGGCAACTCCCGGATAGGGTGTGAGGCGCTCTGGCTAAACTGTGTCCGAGCTTTCCCCACCCTCTCCTGGTGCAGAGCCTGTCTGTGTGGGGGTGTGGCTGACCACTGACCCTGAGGCCAATCACTGACCTTGACCTTGGAGGGCTGCCCCCCTCGACCTTCATTGGATGGAATTCTCCCCTGAATTTCTTGTTCCCCAATAAAAGGCCACTCCCAGGCGTGCTCTCTCTCTCCTGCTAGTCCTGAGTAAGCCTTGCTGCCCTACCAGGTGGTTCGAGGTGTGAGCCAGAGAGGTGAGAGCCGTCTCAGACCTGGTCATAGAATTTGGCACCCCAACATGGGGCGCCAAATTCCACCATGCGACCAGCGCACTGGTTTCATTAAAGAGGTTCTTGGCATAAAAGTTAGCTAGTGAGGTCAAAATAAAACACACAGACTCAGTTACCTTTTTCTATGACCAGGTCCTAGACCGCTCTCACCTCGAACCACCTGGTAGGGCAGCAAGGCTTACTCAGGGCTAGCAGGAGAGAGGGAGAGAGCACGCCAGGGAGTGGCCTTTTTTTGGGGAACAAGAAATTCAGGGGAGAATTCCATCCAATGAAGGTTGAGGGGGGCAGCCCTCCAAGGGCTACATGAACCTACATGAGAGGTTCTTCCCAGAGGTCATGCCATGGAGTGGGGGGGCGGCGAGGGGGGCATGACTTCTCCTCATGCGCGTACAAGCAGGGAAACGTGCTTTTCCTAGCTCACATTGTTTTAGGCTGAATTCAGTTCTTCACTGACTTTTTGGCTGGAGGCTACCCTCAGTTCCTTGCCAAGTGAGCTGCTCCAGAATGGTAGCTGACAGGGTCTGGAGAAGCAGCTCAGCAGCAGAGCGCTTGCCTAGCACATGCACGGCCCAGGCTTCCAACCCTGCGGCACAGAGAAAATAAATGGCAGCTGAACTCACCAAAGCCAGCAAGGGAGAGATAAGTCAGCAAGAGATAAGTCGGAATCTCTCTCATCTGATCCTGTAAATGATATCCACTCAAAAGCCCTGTGAGAACCATATAATCGTATACACACTTTAATATGCAGAATGAGTAGTAAAAAAAAAAAAAAGAGACTCAAAGAGAGGCTGGGGTTGTGGCTCAGCAGTAGAGTGCTCACCTAGCACATGCAAGGCCCTAGGTTCAATCCTCAGCACCACATAAAAATAAGTAAATAAAGGTATTGTGTCCAACTGCAACTAAAAAAATAAATATTTAAAAGGGGGGTGGGGCAAGGCATGGAGTCTGCATGAGAAGTCCGAGCGGTTAGAGGTGACCACTCACTTTCCCCAATGTGATCAGAAGGGAGTGCGAGGGGAAAGCTTTCAGCAGGCTTTGCCTTCTTCCTTTCTCAGGGATTCCAGTAGGAAGTGTATTGACAGGATCCACTGGGAAATAAGAGACCTCTTCCTGGGAGGTAATTCTGCAGGTGTGGGCAGAGTCAAGGGCTGGTGCAGCACCCCCAGTTGGTGACTCGGGAAGATGTACATACCTGTTAATGACTGTCAGACAGGAGCCTTGAGCCTGTCAACGAGGCCCATCCAGGTTTGTCTCCTGAGACATAACAGAGCAGAGAACAGAATGAATCTATTGAGATGAAGGAAAAATAGGGCACATTAAGCACAAACCATAATTTCTTGGAGAATCTCATGGTATCAGCCCTATCACAATGTTTAACAAATTCTTATTTTTCTAGTTCTTTGATGTATAAAATTAAGATATTGATATGGGATCTTCATTCTTTTCTAATGTAAGCTTGTCCTACTATGAATTGCCCTCTGAAAACAGCTCTTGCTACATACCATAAGTTTTGGTATAATTTTTTTTCACTTTCATTTATCTCAAAGTGTTTTCAAATTTGACTTGTAATTATTTCTTTGACTTTCTGGCCAAATGTGTTTTGTTTAATTTCTGCCTATTGGTTTTTCTTTCTGTTACTGATTTCCCATCTTATTTTATTATGGGCAGAGAAGACACTTCAGATTTCAACCCTTCACCAATGTTTAATTAAGCAAAAGCGAACCACTAATCCACAATTAGACACCACTTTATATTTAATACCATATCTGTCACTTGTAAAAAGTTGAAGTAAGTGTTGCCAAGGATGTGGAGAAATAAGAACCTAGAATTGCCTCTTGATGTAGAAATCCTATCCCTACTTATACAACCAAGGGACTGAAAACAGAGACACAAACACATATTTGTACACAAATATTCACAACAGCATTCTTTGAAATACCTGATAGCTGGAAGCAAACCGAGTTTGTTGCCAACAAGTGGTTCATCCATACAATGGAATATTTTCATCCATATAATGGAATATTTTCATCTGTAAAAAGGAATAAATTCTGGCACATGGGACAACATAGATGAACCTTAAACATGATGCTAAATGAAACAAGCAAGACACACATTGTGTGGTTCCACTTGAGGATATAACAGGATTAGGCAGATTCACAGAAATAGAAAGTAGATTAGGGGTTCCCAGGACTGAGAAGCAGGGGGAAGGGAGAGTTGTTCCTTCATGGGTACAATGACATTCAGTGGGACAATCAAAAACTTTTGGAAGGAGGTGGTGGTGGATGTTGGCTCAACATTGTCAACATAGTTAATGCCATTGAATTTGACACTGCAAAATTATAGAAACGGAAAGGTTTATAATACTTTTTTTTGTTTTGTTTTGTTTTGCTTTGTTTGCCACAATTTAAAAAAAAAAAAGAATGCTTGGGCAGGAGTTGTGGCTCAGCCGAGAGCATTCTGCTAGCATGAGCGACGCCCTGGGTTGGATCCTCAGCACCACTAAAAAAACAAATAGTCCAACTACAATTAAAAAATTAAAAAAATGAATATAAAAAATGCTTCATCCCTCATTTGCTGTATATACAAAAGAAATCAAGGACAAGAGAGGAAAAGAACTAGACACTGTTAAAGAAAACAACTCAAGAGTGTGGTTTTGAATCGAAGAATGAACAAAGACAGCCTTGATCCTGTGTTTTTAAAAAAAAAAAAAAAAAAAGTGAGCTGGGCGGGGGATGGTGCACACCTCTAATCCCAGGGGCTCAGAGCCTGAGGCAGGAGGATGGCGAGTTCCAAGCCAGCCTCAGCAACTTGTGAGGCCCTAAGCAACTCAGTGAGACCCTGCCTCTAAGTAAAATGTTAAAAGAGCTGACGATGTGTCTCAGGGCTTTAAACGCCCCTGGGTTCAACACACTGTACCAAAAAAAAAAATGAATTACCTCTTAAAATAAATGGGTGCTGGACACAGCGCGAGCCCTGCGCTCTTCTGGCTAAAAACTACCCCACACTGCGGACCGACCAGTGCGCACCAAACTTTGGCGGCAGCAGGGGCGCCCTTCCCTGGTGCCTACGTTGCATCGCTTCAAAATCATTGAAACCAAGAAAACCACGGGGAAAATCATCTTTTATTGAGTTTTTACTGTCTCGGAAACGAGTCAATAACGGCCTTTTCGTTTGGTGTAGGACTGGCTTCCGTTTTCCAGGTGGGGGATCTGGGTCTCAGGAGGGGCATCTGTTCATGAGAACCTGGACCCTCGAGAACAGTGCCAAGCCAGTCCTCATCTTGAAAGCCCGCCGCTGCGCGCCAGGGTCCTCTTCAGCGCCACCCTCACCTCCTTGTTGCGCAGCGTGTACACCACGGGGTTGAGCAGCGGCGTCACCACCGTGTAGAACACAGCCACCAGGCGGTCCCGGGCGGGGTTCGCCCCAGAGTCGGGCCGCAGGTAGATGATGGAGGCGCAGCCAAAATGCACCACGACCACCGTGAGGTGCGCGGCGCACGTGGAGAAGGCTCTGCGCCGGCCGGCGGCGGAGCGGATCCGCAGGATGGCCGCCACGATGAAGGCGTAGGACAGGAGGATGAGGAGGAAGGAGAAGAGCACCACCAGCACGCTCAGGAAGAAGATGCCCAGCGCCCTGTGCGCACTGTCTGCGCAGCTGAGCTGCAGCACCGGGGCGATGTCGCAGAAGAAGTGCTCCACGCGGCCTCCGCGGCAGAAGGGCGAGGAGAAGATCATGCAGGTCTCGGCCAAGGCCACCGAGAACCCAGAGCAGAAAACCAAGGCTCCCAGGCAGAGGCAAACGGTGGGTCTCATGATCACCGAGTAGCGCAGGGGATGACAGATGGCCACGTACCGGTCGTAACCCATCAGGGTAAGGAGGAAGCAGTTGTTGCATCCCAGGCCCAGGAAGAAGAACATCTGAGCCCGACAGCCCGAGATGGAGATGGCCTGGCTCTCCATCAGCAGGTGGGCCAGCATGTTGGGGATGGTGACCAGCGTGTAACAGGTCTCAGAGAGGGACAGCACCGCCAGGAAGCGGTACATGGGTGTGTGGAGCGTGCGATCCACATGGATGATGGTGATGATGGTGACGTTGCCACTGAGGGTGACCAGGTAGGTGAGGAGGAACAATGTGAAGAGTGTGGTCCTCAGGTGCGGAAGGTTGGAGAATCCCACCAGCACGAACTCTGTCACTAGCCATGTCCCATTTCCCCTCTGCTTCTCGGGAGCCTGGGAAGAGAGGACAGTAAATGCAGTAAGTAAGCAGTGAGTAGAGGAGTCTGCTTGGCCTCAGGTCTACTGGGTTAGCAGAGTCATCCCTGTTTTATAAACAGGACAGACACCCAGAAATGGTAACTCATTTGTTTCCCGGTATCACCCAGTTGACTAGCGTCTCCTCAGTAAGAAAATCATAGGAACAAATAAGGAGAAGATGCTGGGGGTGTGGAGGGCGGAAGGCAGTCAGAACATTGTTATCTTCGTTTAAAGTCCCTAGAAACGGATCCTAGATAAGGATTCAGAACCCCAGAAATCAGACAAAGGGAAGTGGAAGGGAGACAGGCAGTATTAACAAGGAAATGACCCAACTGAGAAACTGGAATCTCTTCCCACCTGGGGCCTGAGAGCTCAGTGTTAGCCCACCCGAGGGGCCAGAGGGCTGGGGTGTTCATGCTCCAACTCCACTTAGTCATTGGTTGAAGGTTTTTCCTAGCAGATGTTAGTTTCCAAACACTTTCTGCTTGTCAAATGTACAAAGGATTCAAGGTCAGTCTGGTGAGCAAGAGAACAGTAAGAGCCCAGGGAATGTGGGTGAGGAATGTACAGGGTCTGCAGGAGGATGGGGAAAAGAACCCCTGAGAAGGCGACGTCTATAACTTTGAGACCTGAAATAAACCCAATAGCACTTTAAGTGTCTAGGGCTGCAGCTCAGAGGTAGAGTGCTTGCCTGCATGCGTGAGACCCTGGGTTCAACCCCCTGAACTGCCAAAAGGAACAGGGTGAAAGAATGAAGGAAGCAAGGGAGAGAGGAAGAAAAAGGAGGGAGAGAGAGAAAAGACAAACCCTACTACCCAGGACTGCATCGACATTTTTCCTTCTCTCATTAAAAAAAGAAGGAGGAGGAGGAGGAGGAGGAGGAGAAAGAAATAATCAGGGCACCATGGCACACACCTATAATCCCAGCAACTGAGGCAGAAGGATCACTAGTTCAAGGCCAGCCCAGGCAACTTAGCCAGACCCTGGTGCAAAATAAGGAGGGCTGGGGATGTAGCTCAGTGGTAGAGCACCCTGGCTTCCATCCCCAGTACCAGGAAAATGACAGTACTTTGTGTCAAGGTGAATGTAATCTTCAACTCTAAATGTTCATTTTTTTCCCTTCAGATTTTAGAAGAAATTAATATAACTTCATGAGCCTTCTAAGACTATTGCGTGTCCTGAGTGCTGTGCCTCATGGATAAATTGTGGGTAAATCAACTGAAAAGTAACTCTGAGGTTATTGGCCCATTTCATTCAAATGATGGGGCCACAGGAGAGATCCTGAAATTGATGATAGCTTTATCATTTCATAATTTATTAACCTGCTATCTCAGGAGGTGTGGGGGTGGGGTGAGAGAACACATTTTGCACTCATTTGAAACATGGGACTTGTTATAAGGAAAATGGTCCTAAGATGATCTTTTTTTTTTTTTTTTT